AAAAAAAAATGTTAAAAGTATTTTATTTAAAAAGGCTCATTATTATTATTATTATTACACTGTGGGGACAATCTCAAATTTTGAAATGACAAAAAAAAAAACGCCGAGACACGTAGACTTAATTTTGGGCCATAGATAGTTGAACTGTATACCGTTTCTCCAGATCAGATCAGATTATCCAAAGATATTTTCATTTTTATGGAAAAAATATCAAACTTTGACAAGAAAAGTACTGAAAACAAACACCTTTTTTGTAATTTTTTCTTATTTGTGCTAAAGCCCGTTCTGTTGCCAAAAAACTAAGCTACTCACGATGAAAATCGGTTGATAAATAAAGCACTCATTTAATTTTTAGTATGAAATATCGTTTGACTAAAATTTTCCAACTTAAAAACTTAAATTTTTCTTCATTCGCAATGCAAACTTAATATAAAAATATCTCGCGAAAATTACCTGATCTAGAAAAAGGATATAAAGATCCTTAATATACGACTCAAAATTAAGTTTACATGTATCGGCGTTTGTTTGTGTCATTTTAGCGTCCCTACAGCGTGTCAGTGACTTAAGCAGATTATGTAATGTAATGCATGTTCATATGTATGTAGGTATGTATGTAAGTATGTAAGTAGTTATGTTGTGTGAATAAAGAAAACCGAATACGAATTATGACAATTACATAGAATTAAAACATTTAGAGAATGACATGAAAACTTAATTGGTCGATTAATTTTTCAACATTTGTGAGATTTTACGAAAATTTCAAATGAAATGTGCAAAAGCGTAAGTATATTTTAGGAATGTTTAAAAATGGGTACATGCATATTGATTATGATATATGTATGTGTGTGTGTGTGTGTGTTAATGGGTTTGTATGTGCGTGTGCCTACGTCTGTGTGTGTGTGTGTGTAAGGAGAATTAAAATGTACGATTGCATTTTAATAAAATGATTTAAGTGAAAGCGGCAAGTAATGCATACAATAGTTAAGAAAGGTAAAAAGGTCGCTACAGCGGGCGGAGTAAATTATAGCTGAAGGGATGAAATACGCGATTTTGGCGTACGGAAGAAAGGAAAGTTATTATTTATTAGATTTGGAATGAAAATAATGAAAGGCAAAGAAAAAAGTTTTTGCTCGCGCAAATCTCGAAAAGGACTGAAAGAGTTTGGATAATATAAGCTACATACGTTTTTAGAAGAAGGACCATCACTACTTCGAATCAACTTTAGCCCAGCTGCTCTTAAAATATTTAGTATTAAAGCTTCTACGAAAATTAAAATTAAAAAAATTTGGTTGAAGAAATAACGTGTTCGAAAAGATTTTTATCCTTTATTAGAGGTTGTTTGCGCTTAAAATTTGAATTGGACATCTTTTGAGTAAATATTTTTACTGTAGAAAATTTGCCTATTTGATTTAGCGGGACGAAATTGAATGAAGATAATCAACATCACACTTCATGTAAAATGGATCGCTGATTGCTAGATTACCGAATTTATGAAAAAGCCTTTTAATATACTGAACTAGAGATTGCAAGTAAAAAAGCCATTTTAAGAGTTTGTTTCTGGAAAGACGAGAAATAAATAGTCGAGCCTTTTTTGTGAATAGTATAAATATTTTCAGCTTACAATTTTTTCAGCCGAAATTATGTACTATATAGGTTGATTCAAGAGAGCTCCTAGTGGATTCCTTCGCTTTTACCTTATCCACCGGCACAGTATCACTGATCGATTTATTCATATTTTTCAGAGGAATTTTACCAAAACGACCCGTTTAGCAATTACCTTTCCGATTATTTTTCCATACATGTCCGTAATTTTTTTAGGTAATTAGCGAAATAAGAGTTATAAACAGCCCTAAATACTGCGCTCTGTTTGGCTAAAATCCGAGTTAGAAAAAATACAAGACACACTTTTTATTTTTTTTTTATCTAAGAAAATAAGAAGTATCCGTTTTCTTTGCTCGAGATATTAAAAATCTATATATCCTTCAATTTTTCGGTTTCTCGTGAGGATATATATGTTCGTTGAGATCTGTAATTTTTTTTTGAGAGATCAAGAAGTTATCAGGCCGCAAGGGAAAGTCAAAATATTGTAGTCATTTGAGCCATAATCAGTATCTATAGGAGGGAAGACTTTCAGTGAGTTCGAAATAAAAATGGTTTGCATGGACGAAAAATATAAAATTTTCAAGTTTAAAAATATGAACACAGAGATGCTATCACACCGAGGACATCATTCAATTCAACATTCCCAAACATACACAAAGGTATTACACATGTATGTATGTATGTATGTATGTATTTAAACGTTTGTGTACATAAATATGTACGTACTCGTAAGTATCTATGTACTATGTACATCAGTGTCATAAATAAGTTAGTGCATTGTTTGTTCTGTTAACTTCTTGTTTTTACCTACTCTATGAGTACATATGTATGTACATGTATGTAAGTGTAAGTGCTGGCTGTTAGTATTTAGATTTTTGTATGCACGCATATGACGAACGATCATGTATGTATGTATGCATTATTTCTTTGAAGTTAAATTGACAATTAAAAACATGAGAGACTGTAGACAAAAACGCAACAGATGAGAAGATGCGATGAATGAGAGAACGGTTCTTAAATTATGTTATTTTGTGTTATTTTCGAGTTATTTAATTATCGATTTCAATTGGTATTTGTTTAATATTTTTTACTCAATAGATACATTAATTTAGAAAAATCGTTAATTTTTTTTTTTGAATAAAACACATTTGATTTAAATAATTTTTTTTTTGGTTTTTTCTTTCTTGTTTTTGTACCCATATCAATCCCATAACCAAGTCTATCTCGTTCACGCATCTCCTGTAGTCGAGCGGGACTTGGCGAACGTGATCTTTGACATAGACTTGTTGTCCCATATGTGGGAAAAGGCAGTTCTGTACGCCTACTGTGCGAATAATGGCCACCATAACGAGAAGGCGAAGGCGAACGGGCCGGACTTGTCGATGCTGACCATGAACCTATACAACAACAACAATACACAGGGGTTTTGGTAGTATCAAATCTCATTTCATATCATTTACATACATTCAACAAAATAATAATAATATAAATACATTGGAACATTCGAATCTATGTATATTAGGGTGGTCCTTAAATATAGGAAGCAAATTTATACATCAAATTTTCTAAGCCTCAGCACCTACGCCAATGCTACTATAGTCGAAGATATCTCATATAAATTTTGGCCCCGATTGCAGACGGTTAAGGCGTGTCGCACAGGGGGCAAAGTTCAGATTCTCCTATNAATTTTTTTTTTGAATAAAACACATTTGATTTAAATAATTTTTTTTTTGTTTTTTTCTTTCTTGTTTTTGTACCCATATCAATCCCATAACCAAGTCTATCTCGTTCACGCATCTCCTGTAGTCGAGCGGGACTTGGCGAACGTGATCTTTGACATAGACTTGTTGTCCCATATGTGGGAAAAGGCAGTTCTGTACGCCTACTGTGCGAATAATGGCCACCATAACGAGAAGGCGAAGGCGAACGGGCCGGACTTGTCGATGCTGACCATGAACCTATACAACAACAACAATACACAGGGGTTTTGGTAGTATCAAATCTCATTTCATATCATTTACATACATTCAACAAAATAATAATAATATAAATACATTGGAACATTCGAATCTATGTAGGTATATTAGGGTGGTCCTTAAATATAGGAAGCAAATTTTTACATCAAATTTTCTAAGCCTCAGCACCTACGCCAATGCTACAATAGTCGAAGATATCTCATATAAATTTTGGTCCCGATTGCAGACGGTTAAGGCGTGTCGCACAGGGGGCAAAGTTCAGATTCTCCTATGAGGACGTCTTAACCGACTCCAATCGGGACCAAATTTTTTATTTGATATTCTCGACTTTATTAGTATCGATATTGAGTATTAAATGAAAAAAAAATTTATTTTTAATTTTTTGAGTCCGGCCTTTGACCCCTTTGCGACACGCCTTAGCCGACTCCAATCACGATCAAATTTTATACGTGATATCTTCGATTGTGGTAGTATCGATTTTGGTTATTAGATTAAAAAAATTCATTTTAATTTTTTGAGTCTCTATAGAGGAATCTGTACTTTGCCCCCGGTGCGACACGCCATAACCGTCTCCAATCGGGACCAAAATTTATCTTTAATATCTGTGACCGTGGTATTACCGATTGAGGCGGTGAGACTGAAAAAATCGTTCATTTGAATTTTTAAGAACCACCCTAATGTATATTAAGAGAAACTAAACAAATATATAACTAAGTAGTAGATATGTATGTACATATGTAGGTATGTAGGCGTTTCTTTGAAAGGTGAGATAAATTATCTGTTTGTACAAACGTTTTATTCTTCTAATTTGTGAACAAAAATTCTAAATAATATGCAAGAAAAGTATATGTAGTAAAAGCAGTGTGTCAACTAAAATTACACAAATATGTTTATATCGTCGTAGCTAAAATGAAATTGTGAAATGTTTGAAATGATTAAAGAAATGAGAGAAATCCTTAATGTATATGTAGGTTTATCTAAGTAAATGCCTACACTGAGTTGCGTAAAGCGCATTTTTTACCGGAAGAAATTCTAAATATGTACATAACTATGTATGTCTGTATCTGAATTCAAAGAGCAGCTGTGTTTGTGTATAGCGAATGTATGCGTATGACGTAATGTTGTATGAAGCAAAAATGTATTTAGTTTGGTTTAACTTTCGAGCAGAGCCGGCCACGAACTTACGTTCAATAATGACCAGAAGCTAATTGACTTCGCTGGCCATGCACTAAGCTCCAGCATAAAATCATCCACAAAATCACGTGTCTGTCTCAGGATGGAAAAACCCGATCGATATTGCTGAGATAGACGGAAACTATGCGTCCAGTGTTGGCTCGTACCACTAAAGGCCATTGAAACCAGTAGAGAAGATGGACCCGAGCTCCCAATCAATGTACCACTCCCTCATTATGATCGGACAATAACCATTGCCCAACTACACTTGAATTGCAACCCTATCATATGCTCTAACTACCACGGTATCGCCTCTATAAGGTCCTGTCGAGCTAGCTCCGTTAGAATTGAAAATTACCACTCCGAGCTTTTAGCTTTAAATGAGGAGGTACCAGGCAGGGAGACTTTCTGTTGTGCACGTTTATTAATCTTATGCTTAAAGAAGTATTATAAGCTACAGAACTGAACTGCTTATGTAAAATTTTTTATATGAGAGTTAAATTTTAGTCATATACCGTGATTACACCGAGAGCATCGATGACAAAGTTGGATAAGGAAGCAATGCGAATGGATCTGGTGGAAAATGAGGACAAGACAAAGTATCCGCTGTCATGAAACAATTAATCAGTGCACTATAAACCTCTGCACTCACGTCACTGTTGGCAGTTATAACAAGCATAGATTGGTTTATTTAGGAACTAGCATAACCACCACCCACCACATTAAACGCAGAATGACTTTTGTCAAGAAGTGTGACAGCTGTGTGAACTGTGTGAGCTTTACAACGATAGTACATTGATAGGTACCTAGAGGAAACGGGAGGTTTCCTGATCCTGTATGTCTCTACCTCTCTCTAGTGACATATTTAGGCAAAATAGCGAGCTATAACAGAGTGCCTGTTCATATTTAATATTTCCACACTGATATGAGTAGTAATTTGTTATCAAATAAATTTTAAATTCCGAATAATTTTCCTTTCTTGCAGAAAAATACTGGTTTGAAACTTAGGAAACTTAGGCTCTAGCAGGTCTATACTTACGTATGAACGTATGTATATATGTATGTAATATGAATTTATTCTGACAATATTTGTTTTTGAACTGTATTAACATAAGTGTTCCTACCAAAACGAAATTTAAAAAAAAAAAGTCACCGATAAGTGTTATTGACCTATTAAGCCTCCTCCTTGAGAAATATACCAAATATTTATTTTTATAGTAGCAAAAGCAATTATGAATTTTTATTTACACATTTGGATTTATTTGGCCTTAGATCGTATTTAAATTAATATTCATTCATATGTATGTATGTGTTTATGTACATAATCGCACAATATTTAAAATAATGCCACAGTAGGTGATTCGCATACTTAAGGTCTCGAGGTTTTGAGAACTGCCATGAACTAAAATTTGCGCCGTCAAAACAAGAACTCCCTCCCGCGTGTATTCGACATTGAGCTTAGCCATAACAAAATATGTGCATACGAATACATGGATGTAGATATATGTGTATGTATGTATGGCAGAATTAGATTTACTTCCGGGTGATTATATTTTTTTCAGCAAAGCGAGATTAACTTATTTCGGATGTTTCATATTTTAAATTCAATAAAACAATGGGTTGTAAAAACATAGTCCGCCATGAAATATGCGAAGCGCGGTTAACAAAAGTGGTAACGATTAAAATTCGCCGGTTACAAAATTATCGGTAACGTGCAGATAATACCTGTGCATTTGTATGCGAGTGGTTTGAATGTATGGATGAATGTAAATATGTACATAAGACTGTGCCAAGTAAAATAAATGTTTTGTTTCGGTCCATATGAAAATTTCGCTGTCGGTCACAAAAAATAATTGTGGCAAAATTTTTGCCCTCCATCTCCATTTTTCAGTTAGCCCTCGTAATAATAAAAAGGTTTAGTTAAAAAATACTTGACGTTGTCAATGATTTTCTTTTATTTATCATATTTGATTGTTTATTAAAAATCAGTAGCGGATTTTTTTTTATTACAAATTCGTATTTGTGCAACCGCTAACTGAAAAATGCGAATAGGGGGATGAAATTTCGTATTTTTCGTGAGCTACAACGAAATATTCCTATGGAACCGAAAGAAAAAAATCTGTCGTCTTAATTAAAACAGTATAATGTACATACATACATGTATGTATATGAATGTATGTATGTTTGTGTAAAATCATTGAAGTGCTAAGCAGAAATATGTATTTGGCCTAATTATGCAAATATGTTGGTAGGCTAAGTATCTAAGTATGTGTGTGTACCTAGGAGTATAATGTATATATGTATGCATGTGTGTCTATATAGGATATGTAAACTTTCAATTGTGTTTGGGATAATTTGTAATTTGTATAACGTTACCTTAATTCACAAAGGCCCTAACCAACACTTTTACGAAACTGCTTTTTTTACAGATTTTGGTAGGATCTATTAAAATACACCTTCTCTCAAAAACTGAAAGTATCAAAAACAAGGTAGTTATGCCACTTTTTAAAAAGGCCTATCTGCGGTTTTTGATTTACTTCTTTAGGCGACTTCAAAAAAAGGAAGAGGTTATCAATTCGTCGGAATATTTTTTTATAAATTTTTTTTCATGTGTGTTACCGCATAACTTTGGACCACGTTAACCGATTTCTATAATCCTTTTCTTTAAGCAAAGGCGCTACCTCACAGGTAGTCCCGTACTAATTTCGGTTTAGATCCGTTCATTGGATCATGCAGAAATTAACGTTATTGTTAAATTTTTATATGAGAATTGAAACCGGTTTTGCTTTTGGCTTCTTCTGCAAAATAGAAAATGTGCTGGTTAGGGCCTTTGTGTGAATTAAGATAACAACAAGTTTATTGTAGGCATGAAAATGACGAGTGAATACTAGGTATATGCATTGGGAGGGTCTGCATGAGTACGTTCAAAACCGTTAGCATGCCTTGCAAAAATTTTACTAAACTCATAGATGTGCATACATAGATCAACAAATAAAAACAATTTTTTTTAATTTTTGTAACTAAACAAATAGCAAACCCAACTTTGAATTATCTTAATAGTGTTAATGTTTAGATGGAAACATATACAGCTAAATAAATATTTAAAAAATATTTTAGTGATTTGTGTTTACTTTTAATGGACTAACACAGGTCGACCATTTTCGAATGATAAGTTTTTTTTTACTCAAATATGAACTTTTAACGGAGCTCGAGGATAACCTTGTTTGTTTTTTTGCCTTCATCAGGCAATACAATTTCTGAGAATAAAGAATACATATTTAAAAAAAAATAGCCGACGCGCTGAGATCCTGGCGGGTGCAAACGTATAACATTATCCTAAGCACTAGTTCAGATCTACAACTGGGAGAGTTGATCTCGGCGAGGAACTCAGCGACACTCTATCTCTATTAATGGGGAAGTTTTAGTTATCTTTGAGGACTGCAAAAATCAGTTTTCGGTACTGACGATAGCATCTGCTTGAACTATGTATAGTAGGGCGGGTCAATTTACTTTCGCAATTTGGCAAACTCCAAATTGATTTTAGACCCATGGTTTCTTCGGCAAATTTGCTTATAATTACACGTATAATCCTCCTGTGCTATGCCCTAATGTATAGCCAAGCAAGTCAAAAAATATACAATACAATCATTGTATCAATAAATGATGAAAAATGATGTGAAAGCGGTGGAATTGACGAGGTTGGCAGATGGTTTGTTTAGACAAATCTCAAGCAATAGAATTGGGATGCCTTGTTGTAATATGTATTAAATTCTCGACAGAGACCTTTAGCTTGCCTGACTGTCTTCTTAATTTTTGACTTTAACAAAAATAAAGCTTCAGGTCTGCAAAAGCTCAAAATTATTCAAATTTGTAGGAACTATAAAAGTGCTCTAGCCTCCCCGCAAGCATGCAGAAGGAAGCCAACCCAAGAAATTGCATGGGAAACAACAACCAACCAGGTAATCTTGGTTCTTATAAACTGGGCTGGGGAAAATTTTTTCAGTACTTAAAATATAGAAAAATTAATTTACGCTTGGTGGACCTGTGTTAGCCTAATTTATGAACATATATGTAGATATAAGTAAAGTCTAGGCAAGTATTTAGTAGTCGAAGTGTATCTTTAAATATATTTAACAAAGTGTACATAACTATTTAAATAATAATTACAAAAGCAAAAAACAATTTAATAGAAACTATAGCTATGTATGTATTATATTTGTATACCTCTTGGATAACGCGGATGCCCATATCCGTGCCTTGGATGACGGGTCTCCTTGACCATCTCTACAACATTAGATACGGTATCGGAGAACCCAATATCATGATGTATGTATTGATGGCCTCGCCGTCTAGGACTTGGAGATCTGGCCAATGGAGATCCGTTATGTCTGATTTAGTATGATTATTGCAATTATGAATATTTTTTTATTAATTTTTGAATCAATTAAACTCATTAACAGCATACATTTGTTGTATTTTTGTGTATACTTTAGTGAGTTTTTTGTTGTTTTGTTTTGTTTTCGAATTCGAAAATATGTAGTGTAGAAACATAGTATTGTTTTGGTACTCACCTTAAACTCGGCGAACGGCGATGATGACCATTGTGATACGCGTGACCAGGATGTAAATGACCAGCATCGGCACCGGTTAACGATTCCTGAGAAGGATGTCTCGACGCATCCTGCAGTTCCAGCATCTGGCAGATATCAACACGAAAGCAAACGTTTTATTTAGTAATGTGTTGTTACATAATCAATATTCTACAACAACAGCCGATACAGTAAGTACTTTTGGCAGGAAAGATTTACAAATATGTTACACAATTCAGTAAATAATTAGGTTATTAATTACGTAATTAAGTAAGAGGGGTATACATGTAGTTAAATATATTTTGTATATTTATATAAATATATTACTTTTGACAAACGTTAACGTATACATATATTTTTTATTTTTTTAAAGGTTACAAAAAAGTTAAATGCAGGGTAAATATGTTTGTATGATTATAGTTACATATGTATGTAGTACATACATATATATATATATATAGATATATATTGAACACTTACAAATATAAATATTTGATTCTACTTAAGGCAGTATACTCATTACGCATTTTTCTATTGGTAACTTTTTTTTTTTNGTAGTACATACATATATATATATATATATATATATTGAACACTTACAAATATAAATATTTGATTCTACTTAAGGCAGTATAAGTAATTTTTCTATTGATAACTTTTTTTGTTTTGCATATTTTTTCGCACTAAATTTTGACTAGTTTGGATTGTGACACTATTCACTGCTAGCTCATCTAAAGCTCTGTCCTATATTTATATTTAGTAAAAAAAAATAATCAACAAATAATGATCATCTAAAATCATTTATAAAGGAATAGGTCAAATGAAAACTAAATCAAATCATAGATTTCGAATGCAATTCGACGAAGACGAAACTACACACTAATGCAGGAAAATGCAAGTACACACACATACATAGATATTGTAGCAAAAAAGTTAGATTAAGTGTGCTGAATAGCCGGAGAAATGTGCATGCAGCTAGGGTAGGTAGTAAATAGAAGACTCTAAAAAGGATTGACAAGCATTTGCAGGGCATAAAAAACTGATGCGTTTGCACTGCTGAACTGAAATTGACTGAGCTTGTGATTGCACGCATTGCATGTGGAATGTTGCATGTACTGCTTGTATGTGTGTAGCTTGTGGAATGTGGCATGTCGGCATATTGCATGTTGGCATGTTACTTGTGGCATGTGACATGTGCTGCTTGTGACATTGTGTGANTAGGTCAAATGAAAACTAAATCAAATCATAGATTTCGAATGCAATTCGACGAAGACAAAACTACACACTAATGCAGGAAAATGCAAGTACACACACATACATAGATATTGTAGCAATACAGTTAGATTAAGTGTGCTGAATAGCCGGAGAAATGTGCATGCAGCTAGGGTAGATAGTAAATAGAAGACTCTAAATAGGATTGGCAAGCATTTGCAGGGCATAAAAAACTGATGCTTTTGCACTGCTGAACTGAAATTGACTGAGCTTGTGATTGCACGCGGAATGCATGTGGAATGTTGCATGTGCTGCTTGTATGTGTGTAGCTTGTGGAATGTGACATGTGCTGCTTGTGACATTGTGTGGCGCATGTAAAATAGGTGTGTGTAAACTTACTTACCACAAATTTTATAAAAAAAAAAGATTATAATTTGTATGCATGTATATGCAGTTAGTGCCGCATACACAAACACAACTTAAATCTATCGATGTGCGCATCCGCAAGCTATTCGTGTTTAAATTATCTCATAAAACCGTAAAATTCATACAGTGCCTTTCGAAATTGTGTTACTGTACATTCGGATATTCTATCAATTGTTTCCATGTTTTTTATTAATTTCCTTTCTAGTGGTTTTGGTTTTGGTTTAGTTTATCTTCGAAGAGTTCGACAGCTACTTATGTGCAAGGTTTTCTAATTTTACAATTTTTAATTTTTATTAAATAAATGTGCAATTTAAATTATTCAACTAAGTTGAATATTAATACTAAATGTGAACTTTGAATAATTAAAATAATTTAAATTGCGCTAAGGTGAACTTTACAAGAATCTCTAAAAGATGCTTAAAAATTTTAAAAGTTTCTCGTAAATTTAAGGGATTATACGCTGTTGGAAT